GGCAACAACAATACTACAGCGAGGATAAAAGTTACGCCTTCTTTCTTTGCTTGAACATTTGGGCGGTGTTATGCAAATCTTCGCACATCGTGACGTAGACATGTGGGGGCGTGTTAGAACGAGCCGTTTTAGGTAGGCGTGGTTAACTCTTAACTTTTATAAAGAATATCTCTTTGGATTTGAGACTTTAGTCTTTGCAACTTTACAGATCTTCTTTATGCACCAAGAGCTTGTAACACTCCAAAGAGAAAGGAACAATTGAAAGCGCATCATATGACCCCTTTAATTGTTATGATGCCTATAATATAGGAGAACGGGGTGATTAAGATTTTATTTTCAGCTGTATGTCAGTGTCATGTGATTGTGTGTGTGTGTTTCAGGGCTGATGGACAGATGTACAGGCCGATCATGATCCACCGGGCCGTGCTGGGCTCCCTGGAGAGGATGATCGCTATCCTGGCCGAAAACTTCAGAGGGAAATGGTGTGTGTGTTTGTGAGTTCAGTGGTTTCTGGAATTGGTGAAGTACTAATGTTTAGTCTTTCTCAGGCCTTTCTGGTTGTCGCCAGCGCAGGTGATGGTCGTGCCTGTAGGGGGCGGCAGTGAGACGTACGGACAAGAGGTCAGAGGAAACACAACACTCTGAACAAACTTAATTTATATCATTATAAACAGCTTATGGGTGTTTGATGCATTCTGCTGTGGTTTAAGGTGGTCTGCAGACTAAGGGAAGCTGGATTCATGGCTGATATTGATGATGATCGTGGAAGCACCTTAAATAAGAAAATCCGCTCGGCGCAGCTCGCACAGTACAATTATATATTCGGTAAGGATTCATTCTGATGTGTTATCATACAGAAATGCTTTCTCGTATCCCAGTTTATTTGTGCAGTTGTATGAGGTGCGAGAAGTGACACTTGACCTTTAAGTGTTTAATGGTTTAGTTGTTCCCTGCTGGTACACATGTAAAGAATGAGTGTTCTGGGGCCTGTTAGGAATAGCTCAGATAAACGAACCTCTCCCCGTGTTTGTCATGCAGTGGTGGGAGAGAAGGAGTGTGCGAGCGGGACTGTGAGCGTGCGGACGAGAGCAGGGAAGCAGCTCGGCCAGAAATCACTGCAGGAAGTGATGCGCTCACTGAATGAACTCAGACAGACACGCAGCAATCAGGAGGAGCTTTAAACGCTCGCGTGAGGAAGAGATACGGCTCTGAACACACGGACACAAACCACGGCAGAACCAGTGCCCTGCTCAGACTTCATAAGTGCTGTTATCAGCTTCATCAGATCCCTGTTGAGTTCTACAGAAACACAAACACATGCATTTCAGCAGTGGACCTCTGAACCTCGAGTGCTGCCGCTGCATTAATAAAACAAGAAATTACTTTTAATATTCAGTCTCTCTGTTTCTCTGTCAGCGTACGTATTCATCAAGGTCTGTGTTGTGTGGATCATTTATATTAATTAGGGAACACTCTTAATAACTTTTATTCAATACATATGAAAGTGCAAAAATCAGGGATTATCAAATGGGGGTTTGTGGGAAATTTCATAGAAAAAAAGTTGAAAATTTTTTTTTTAAAAGATGCTTTGGACTAGTACTTAGTGTGAAAGTCAATTTGAAATATTAATTATTATTAATAATTATTTTAATAATTTATTTTAGCTTTAGTATAATGATAACATAAATGCCAATTATTTTTAATAATAATAAAATATTTATTAAATATTTGAGGTCCTTGACATTAAAAAAAATGTGGGAAAACCATGGTATAAATCAAAGTTTAATTAATTTAAATACACAAATAAATAATAAATGGTTAAGCATTGTTAGCGGCAAGAGTTTTTTTTTTTTTTTTTGTGATAAAATAATTTACTTTTAATATTCAGTCTCTCTGTTTCTTTGGTAATGTATGTATTAAGATCTCCTTTGCGTAGGTTATTTTTATTAATTAGGAAACACAAACAACTTTAATTAAACTCATTAACACTAATAACTTTAAAAGTCATTAATGCTTAACTGATCAGTAATTCATAAATGCATATGGTTTAAATCGGGGGTTTTCAAACTACGGTTTCTTTCTTTGAAATGCATTTAATCAATATTTGTGAAAATGACTTTGAATCATTAATATTTTCCATTAATTTATTTCTTTTTGCTTTAGTATAATAACAAATGACATTTTTTTTTATTAAAAAACGTGTAGTTTTGTTTTATTTTTAATATCAGTCTTTTTCTCACAAAGTACAAATACATCTTAAATTATGTAGCTGCATTTGTATTTTAAGAAGTCTTTTGCAAGGGGATAATACTTGATATGAAATCATTGAAAAACTCAAATCAAAGTTGAATTTAAATTCACAAAAAAAAAAAAATCTAGTTGTTTGTGCTATTAAACATTAAGCATGCAATTGTTACAATTACATTTGAATGGTTTTGGAAGAAAATGTGAGCCTGTGCAAAACTCACTGCCATGATACTAGGTCGGTTGCTAAGACAATACTAGGCTATTCTGGGGAACGAAATCCAGAAGCAACTTCGGAGCAAGTTCCATCGCCATCAATAGAGTTCAACAGAACTTGCAACCACTGTTAGCTAACGATGCTTTTGGGAAATAGACCTCTGGTTTCAAGGTTGCCAAGGTTACAACGACAAGGCCTCACCCTCAATCAAAGCTTCATTAATAGCGTGTATTATTATTAATTCATGTTAATTCACCTTGTAACCATTACAAGGTCTCCAAACTGTTATCCATTTGTGTTCATGCATAAATAGCACCTGCTTCATCAGTGTATGAAAATAACCAATGTGCTTCAATAGAGAGCAGAGTAAGTGCTTGACTAAAATAGGAGTAATTCATAGGGGGGGCAACAAAGGTCAGGGACGGCTGAGACCCGCTGGTGTTTTTGCCTTATTAGAAGAAAGGCGTCAGAATGGAGAGGACGTGACTCACATGGGCGGAGGAGGTCATGGCCGAAGCACACGCTCACACCCCAACAAACGTATACCGGATCAACAAAGGGCACCAAAAACAAAGACTTTCCAGACGTTTTATCTGATGCACGTATGAAAGAGGGTGACATGCTGGAGTGTGTGCAGGGGGTTATGGGACTTTGGGACTCTCTGCAGACTGAAACCAAGCCAGAAAAAGAAAAAGACGTTGAGATGCGAAGAGGGTGAGGCAGGATCATGGCCTGGTTCTGTGCTCACGGGAACTCTTACTGCAGCATTTAAACTTCCACTGGACCTGAGAGAAGACGTACGCTACCAAAAAGTTTGCGATCGGTTACACACCAAAGTTTAATACTTATTGTTAAGGGTTTAATCACATTACTAACCCTACAGTGATTATGAGCAATGCTTAACTTGCAGTCTTGGAAAGCAAAGCCCCTTTTCTTGCATACAGTGGTTTCATTTCTCATTTCTTCAAAATAATTTGGAGTCTGAGAGCCAAAAAAAGAAACTTGAAGTAATCTTATAAAACTACGTCATGCTAGAGACGGCATATCTTCCTCTGTCATCCCACACACAAACACTCCCCTGCACAAAGACATTCTGCATTCAGTGAGCAGCATCGCAGGAGTTCATCGGGTTATTTTAGGAGTGTTTACAGCTCTGCGTGCATGAGGCGGCGCGTTTGATAGTATACAAGTATGAGCATGGGTTTGCTTATGGTATCAGTGCTGCATATAGATACGTAAAACCCTCCAGTGAAAGAGTGGTGACACTGACATGAACGGGGAAAACGGTAGGCCTTCCTGCGTTGTTCTGAGAAAGTCTGGCTATCAGTGAGAACACATCAAGCAGGAATGATTAAGGGACACTCTTAAAATAACCTAATGCGGTCCCTCTCCCTGATAAAAAATAAACCCGTACGGTTCGCGGCCACTGGAATGAAAACAGGAGGTAATTTCCTAATTTGTCATTCATGATTCAACGTGACTTACAGTACACTAGTTCAGTATTCCCATCCTCCTGAAGTAACCTTATGATAAGTGCCTTGTTCAAGGCTACTGTGATCATTATTCATGGATCACACCTTGGTTTGGACCTACATCCTTTTGGTTAGAAGCCCAGAGCTTTAACCTCTAGACTACACCACCCTGGAGGTCAAGATATGTAGGATGTGTTCTTGGATCAGCATCCTTGTTGGTACTTGAACAACATTCCAATCAACCAGTAAAATTTTAGGGCTTAGGGTCTTAAGCAGGGGTGTCCAAGCCTGCTCCTGGAGGCTCAATGTCCGGCAGAGTTTAGCTTCAAATTACCCCAACACACCTGCCCGGACGTCTCTAGTACTCCTGGAGACCTTGATTAGCTTCTTCAGGTGTGTTTAATTGTGATTGGTGCTAAACTCTGCTGGACACCGACCCTCCGGGAGTAGGATCCGACACCCCTGCTTAAGGTCTCAAGGTTAGGTTTATGTCTTGCTGCCACTCTTCACTTGGGTGGTCCCAGACACAGATGAACTGTTTTCATATGCATGTTATGCATTTTGTACACAAAAATTGCAAGAGCTAACTGAAAGTGCCAGTTCCAATCTGATTGTTGTGGATGCACGGGTGTTTATCATTTGCTCTGGAAACAACCTTATCCTGGATGCTACAGTCAGCTCTTCTGCACTTAGAACCAGGAGGAAATATGTTTGAGCATCTTTGATTATTTGATCTGTTTTATCCCCCATGTAGCCAGTGTGGTCCACAGTGTAGCTTATTTTGACCCAAGATCTGCTCGGGAACACTCAGAAAGAAAAAAAAAGTGCACAACAATATTGAGCTATAAAAGAAATTGTAGTGTTTACTAAGACAGCTTTATAAAATTTGATGACTGAAAATCATCAAAATGGTCTCTTCAGTGTCAGAAAACATGCAAAAATTGTACCTTTATGGGTAGAACAGCTTGGGGTACAATGAGGGCAGTACCCTCAAAGGTGTGTATCAGTACCTTAAGTAGGAAGGTATTAATATGCACCTTTTAAAGGTAGATAATGTACAAAGTTGTCCATTTAAGGGTTCTACCTCCACAACAAGCTGTTGTACCCCCTAAAGGTGCAATTTTTGCACTTTAGTTTTGGCATACAGTTTAGAGTCAGGTTATCTAGTTGATACCATATGAAAATGCCAGCCTAGAAGACAAAAGAAGTGTCTTTCTGTAGCCATAAAGAAAAGTCTAAATGTGTGTAGACCTCAGAATTTCTGTCTGGCCAAAAGTATTAAGCATTAGACATACAGCAGAATTTACTGATGTGCTGTGTAGTGTGTAGTGGTCAATCCTGCTCCTGCATGACTTTTTTTTCCAACTGGACCGGTGTTCTGACAAATAATGCTACCTATCAGATTATGCTTCCAACACTGTATTTATCCTACTGTAAGGGTAGGTTTAGGGTTGGGGTAGGTGTACATGTTAATAAAGCCTCACACCTTATTAATATCATGCTGGAAGCAAAATCTGATAGGTAGCACTTTTCGCTATCGAATTAT